TGAGTAACTATTGGCACATGGGAAAATTATCTTAAGCGCCCTTTTCTGAATGGATTCAATTTTGTCAGACAGATAACCTGGAATGGATTGCCATTGGTACGGCGTACTCTATAACAGATCTAACAGCGCTTGTATAGACCTTTAACATGCTACCTTGGTCAACGCCGGCTCAAAGTAGAATACGTAGAGAGTAGAGCTTCTTGCAAGCTTTTTATATATGTAGTTAACATGACTATTCCACCTAAGGTCGCTATCGATGAATACTCCTAGAATCTTGTAGGTCGATACGCGTTCTAATAGTGTTATTACCAATAACAGTATGATTAAATATCAGATAAAAACCATCTTTTATGAATCTTACATGTCTGTCTGCAGGCCTTTCTTTCCTTAAATTTTTTTCAATAATTCCTTTAAATGCTTTGAAGAAAAAACCATCTAAAGCACTTATCTGCATAACAAAACAAAACAAAAAAAAACAAAAAACAAAACAACACCATCATGTGCATGCACCCACACTAGAACAAATTGACAAAATGAGCTATCGTGCAGTTTTTCTTCATCTTCTTTATGCAACTTTTACACAAGTACAATATGGTTTATATCGTCTTTCTTGATTAATCAAAACTGTATCAAAATTCTTGAATGTGATTGGTTATCATCAGCCTAATTTGAGCACTTATTAGGCAGAGCGTGAAAGTGCAGTGCAATTGTCCAGGTGATTAGAGTCATGTTGTTGGTGGTGGTGACTGATGTTTTGACAGCCTGTGCAGAAGTCATCATCAGAGTCGAGTGAATAGTTGTTGTCAGTAGAATATTCTGAATCCAGTTTGTGTAAAATGACTGGTCAGTTTTGCGGTGACTTGATTGGCTGTAAGATTCAAATCAGTCACCACCACCAACAATGGTCCTTCTCAGGACTACACTACACTTTGACATGTTATCCCCAGGTTCAAACCATTTACTGTAGTAGGACAGAGTGCACATCATGCTTATGATTGGACAGTACAGGTGATGCCTGTGTAATTAAACAGGATGCATCATAAGCACAAGCTGGCATAGCACATTTATTCCCAGTTAATCGTTATTTTCTTAGGAAAATGTACAACAAATGGCCAGTTTGTTTCTAAATATTTTGTTAGGGCAATATGACTTTTTGCTGTCTAATTCTTTCCTTACTCATATTTAACAAATTGTACAACCACAAAGCAGTGGCCAGATTTGTTAATAACAGGCCTGAGCTGTACATCCAATAGTTCCCAGCTTTACAAGTCAACATCTTTAAAAGTACACTCGTAAGATGCTTACCTCATAGTACTGCGCAAGAGGTTCTCCGTGAAAGTGTTTCACAAATGGAAGTCTGTACTTGTCACACATTGCCTGCAGAAGAATTCAAACTGTAATACAACTGTTTATTTCAACAAGAGTTAATTACATTTTATTGAGTGACCAAAGGATTCTGACAGTACCTCTCCATAAGCTTTGATCCACAATAACACCAGTGTTACATGACCTGCAAATTCTTGCTGTAAATCAACTTCGTTCTGAGAAAGTGTTCTTGCCTTCATTGCAGGAAAGAGACGTGAATCCTAAAAGTTCAAAATACAGCACAAGTATTAAGTTAACATCTTTTTTTCATAATGTAAATATTCAGCTCGGCATCTATCCCCCAGGGTACTTCAGTCTCAAACTTCCATACCTGGGGGTTTCATTAAGGACTGGGCACCAGACAAATTGATTGGCTGTGAAGATGACAAAGTCCAGCTGCTTTCAAAAGATTATACAAAAGAACAGACTTTCATAAGATTAACCAAAAGAACAGACTCCCTGTTAACTTTATACTCTAGATTTTCCTCACATTTAAACAAAGTTTTAACATCCTGAATGCATGAATCTGTTTGCATAATCAACAGAAATCCTTCACTCAAGAAAGGTTGCAAAGAAGATCTTTGCAACCCAGAATGTTTGTTCAGGCAAAGTTATAACACACAATAATCTAACACTGTAAAATTTTTTTGGTTATATTTTGATAAGAATTTGTATAAAAAACAATTTGAAAAATGGAGAACAATTTTATCCCAATTGACATGAACAGAAACCTCCCTTCTGTAATCATTTTCTAACACTTTCTATTAAAAGGGTAGCTATCCTAAAGATTTCATGTGCAAAAGAATATGGATTTGCTTTAGAAAGCTATTTTACCTGTTACTTAATTGTCAAATCAAGACTATCATGGGAAGAAATTATATCCTTTTTGGCAACTGAAGCATGCCATATAACAGGCTCCTCTCTGACATGCCCCCTCTCTAATAATCCCCCCTCTCTAATGAACCCCCTCTCTGATGGGCTCCTCCTCTCTAATAAACCCCATCACTAATGAGCCCCCTCTCTAATGAACCCCGTCTCTAAGAGCCCCACTCTGTAATAAGCCCTTACCCTAATAAGTCCCCTCTCTAATATGCTTCCCTCTCTAAATAGTCCCCTCTCTAATAAATTTCTTCTCCTATAGATCTCCCTCTCTGATATGTTCCCCCCTCCAATGAGGGGAAATGTCCCCTCTCTAATAAACCCCTTCTGTGATAAATCTCCCTCTCTGATATGTTCCCCTCTCCAATTAGACCCTCACTCTAATAGCCCCCTCACTCTGAAAGCCCCCTCTCTCATAGGACACCCTCTAGAACAGCCCCACCCCACCTCACCCCCCACTTCTTCTGTAAAGCTCCCGTCTCTAGTGAGCTTAGTCTAAAATCTCAGGTTTCTAAGAATCCATCCTTTTCTAATAATTAATTGATAACAACTGGCATTGACCATCTTTGGTTATTGTTGTCATTGGCCCTTTCACTCCCAGAAATGATTAACATTTAACTTCTCCCTATAACATTACAACTTCACAACGGTTTAAGTGTGTCTTAATGAAATGGGGGTGGCTGCTGGCATTTTTACCACGAGGGCTCAAAGCGGCATTTCCGAGAGCCTTTCATTCGTGTTCGGCCTTTATCCCATGAGATTAAGGAGGCTGTTGATGGAAGAACTTGCGACTTTTGGGCGGAGAAGCTATAACTCTTTTTCAAATTACTTTAACAATGCGGGCTAATTGCGTGGCATCAAATTAGTATCCTTTTGTTTATATTTCATTCGCGTTTACCAAAAATATCAACTTGTGTTTTTCTGCAACTGAATGCTTCCCACTAAAATAATGATTTCACTTCAGTTTAGTGTTGAGAATTGTTTCAAAAGCTTTAAAACGAGCCCTTGAACGAAACTTTTGGTTGAGGAAAAGCGGAGAAACAGATTTCTGTGGCTGCTTAGCGTATTTTCGGTTGCGACCACAAATGTCAACAGAAGGGCTTTTCCTATGTTCCAATTCGCAAATGCCAATCAGTTTACTTTTTGTGTATGAGGTTTCTTTAGCAACATTGGAAACTTCAGTCAGCTTTCCGATGTAAAAAAAAGAAAGGGATTTTTTATTAGTGGGAACTAACGTTTTATTCAATGTTAACAAGTTGCCGCCATTTCTTTGATGAACAGTTGGTATAACTTTTAAAACGTGCTGCGCCAAAAGTCAAATAGTCAAGATCTTTGCATTGTTCTTCAGTAGCGAAACATTTTTATTAGTTTACAGAGGAAAGACATTTAAAAATTTGCAGTTTTCAAACCAGACCCGGAGGACTCAATCGCAAACCCAAAACCTTCGATATTTTTTGCTACGCATTGCGGTTTGCACTTTTAGCATGATAAAAGTTCAGGCATTCCTTTTTTAATTATAAAGTTAATTTTAACAAAACAATCATTTGAGCATGAAACTGGAAACAAAAGAAATATATCACACTTAACATTAAAGCACTTGCGATCGTGCAAGCTAGCTACATTTTCGGAAATTGCTCATGCCGTGAATAATGATTATTTAATTAAAATAACAATAGAGTGCATATATGAATACTTAATCGACCCACAAAATGTGGGTACACACTTAAACCACGCTGAAGTTGTCATGATATCCATACATGATCCAGCAAACAGGTAATGAGAATACTCAAACTTATCAGTTAAAAGTTGTTATCTTAATAAAAAAAATAAACGCCAAATTCTCGAAACTGTTTCACAACAACATTCGTAGCGGCAAGAGGGGAGAATTAATAACCAGATCTTAAGGGTGAAAGGGTTATATGCATACCCAAAGAAAAATTCAGAATAAAGGTATGTAATGGTTGACCTACCTTCAATTCACTTGGCTTACTAAAAGCGAAAAATCTCTTTCCACCGAGCTTACGAAATTCTGTACAAAAGAAGACAAAAACACTTAACTTAAAACGATAACATCTATGTTTGCTTGCCCTAGCTTCGATTAAATCGAAGCTATATTGCAATTAAGGTGCAAACCGGCAAAACTTCTTTCTACCTACAGTTTACACCAGTAAAGAATATAATGAGAAACTAATCTTCTTTATCCAAGTTAATATGTTTCTCACCATGGAAATCATAAAAGTAGCCCTTGCGAACATCTTTGAATCTAAAATGAACAGAGCATATACTTCAATAATTATCGAAAGAGACGATTCCCGCCCTTGTCGTGGTAACTTTCCCGTTTGAATAAAAAAATCCATACATACATTTCCTTCCTGTTTTCCATTCTCTTGCTCTTCTTGTCGAATTTCGCCCCTTGGTCTGACGCTACTTTAGTCACAAGGCTTCTCTGCATCGAACGAAGAAGAAAACACGGGTTTTTAATGAATTTTTGTGACAGACCCGCCATTTTGAAAATTGGCCTCAGCGGTCTTCAAAGGTTCCTATATTGCTCATGTAACGTTTCATAAATTATCGCTGTTGAAAAAGGGTTGTACCCAGACCTTTTACTTTCATCTACAACTCTCTAAGCTGCTGACAATGAGAATTCGTTAAAAAAATCAAGAGCTTCTATGGTTGTTGGTCATTTAATTTCTGAACTAATAGCATGTGATTCCGTGGTGATATTTTAAGGAGAAAGTATATGTACATGTTAGTCTGCATAACAAGTACACTGGTAACACAACAGTTAACAAGGGAAATGGAAAATGACCTGTATCCATAGGAAGGTTTGAGACTCATAGACTTGCAAGTCGAGTTCTGGAGTTCAATCCTTAAGGAAATCATGAGGCCATGGAATATTTCAATGAAAGTACAAAATTCTTCTACCATTTGTTTGTAGCTAAATCATATAATGCCATACTTTACTTAAAGCATATTTTTCCATTGCCTTTTAGATCACAGAATTTATTTTACATAAGTACAGACAAACAATCTTCTGCCCTGTTAATAATAATGATAATAATAATAATGATAGTAGTAATAATGATAATAATAATAATAATAATAATAATAATAACTAATGTTTTAAGAGGAGGCCTCCAATCACCACCCTAAGGTGGTTTTCAGGAGGGTCCTCTGAAAATTAAAATAACAATTATGATAAAAGATGACACTAAGGACTGAGACTACAACTAAGATTCAAAATTAAGAACTAAGATTAAGTTACTGACTAGAGGTTAAAATAATTCAGTAGAAACTATTTCCGTTTGTGTTTAAAAAATTGTTTCCAGTATCAGTGTCTGGAGGTCACTTAGCAGTAAGATCCGGTCATTAACTGCAAATTTATTATATGTTTTGTTTCTGCCCCATTCTGTTCTTGGGCTGGTGACTTGGCATGCAACCATTTCGGGTATTATAATGGTTGTTTGTTTACATGGAACTGGTCAGCTCGGACAATCACCACAAACCGTATAATTATATTAATCCAAGCTTTAATTCTTTTTCAATCTAAAGAAGTACATTATTTTATCATTTGAAATTGGAAAAATGCAAATCAAGGCATTATCTCGTAGCAAAAGTCAGGAAATGTGATTAGAAACTTACTTCTGTGGCTGGTCAATAAAACAAGTCTCTTTTTACAGGAGGTTAGCAGATTCAGGTTCTGAAGAGGAGTTTTGAACAGACTATAAAAACTGTTCTGTGTAGAAAGTAAGGCCGATGAAATGATCCACCACAAATCGTATAATTTGATTGTTATTTATTGAGAAGATATTGCAATTATTCGATCTGGCAGAAGGACAATACAACACTGTTTGTATCCACTGGTGTGTATAATTAAATTCTCATACAATAATTTGACTCCAAAATAGCTCAAAATATAATTTGACAATAATGTTTTACTTACTTTGTGGCAGGCCATTGGCTGCAGGTTAGCTTAAAGGCTTGTTGTGGGCTAGCAACTTATACTAGACCTTTCCTTTTGAAACTGATTTACTGACTCAAATGTGATGTACAGTACAAAGCTTGAATGTCAATCAATGTTCTAAATCGCGTAATTCGAACTCAGTCACTTTGAATGAAACAAAAATGACCTCTCTTTGATTTATCTAAAAAACTGTTTAAAACATAACCTAACACTTTTAAATCACTGTACAGAATTAATGTCAATCAGGAGTCTTGTAATCAAAATAAACTTGTCATCAAAAGCCAATGTCTACTTGCTAAATGAAACAACCCTGTTGTTGGCTTGTTATAGAACTGAACACATAGAGATGTTCAGGGATCTTATCCTTCCATGCATCCTTTCATCATCTTCATTTTCAAACTAAGCTGCAACTAGCTCTCTTTAAAGTTTTTGCTGATAATGATCATGGAACATGGACTCGGAGGTCAAATCTCATTTGCTAGAAACAAATCATGCTTTATCTTTTACAGCTCATCAAAGTGAGAGGGAGGCGAGGTGGAGCTTTTTTAATGCAGTGTAATCTTTACACCCTAACATCAGCACAGTATGAATATATTCTCCATACTGTTCTCTACCCACTTCTTAAGATGCTCAGAGGAGAATTTGATTTGCAATCAAAAGCTTTTTGAGTTGGTGATGTTTTCCTTTCTATTCTTGGGACCTTAATCTTTGATTCTTATGTGATACTGTAAAGAGACATAAGATGCTTGTCACCCTTGAGGTAAAAACACTAGAAAAATAACAATGGAATACTCTCTTACTCAACTTGCAATATATGCATGTGTGCACATGTAACATGCTGACCCATTTAAACTCCCATGAGTGACCAAGACAGAATTTCTCCGTACAATACCAAGCAAACAAGTGATGGGAATAAAGAAAAATATCAAGGTAATAGGCCACTTTCATGAAAATTCTTTTTAAGGTTGTTTGATCATCTGTTTGAGACAGGGTGTGGAATTTCATTCCAAGTTTAAAATAGAGTTGGAATATAATTTGTATTTCAATCTGAGAAGGGGATTGGTTGATTTTAAGAAGAGTGCTATCCCTGTTGAAGAGAAGTCACTGATAAGGAAAGCTTCCACAGAGGACTTGAGGCAGGTTTCTGAGAGAGATAAGTTAACTCTACTTTAGTTTGATATTGGGAAGGTTTCACATTCCCTCCCTTCCCCATTTCCTCCTTGATTTATTTTTGTGACAACAATCAGCATGAAGCTCTCTACTTTGTCTTGTCAATGTCTAACCATATAGGGACTAAACTGACTATACCACACAAAGTATAAATCTGCTTACATGATTTATTTAACATTCATTTGATAAACATAGGAGTTCTGGCCCTATCTACAAACAATAGTCACTGAAATCTCATCTGTTTAAATCTCAAACAACTATAAATATACAAGTATCAAATTCCAATTCGATCTGGAAACAGTGGACAAGAAGAGCCACCCAGTGGAATGTCCATTGTTAAACTATCTATATTTATTATTATAAGTATCATATTTGATCTGCGGATTTTTAAATGAAGATGAGAGTGATCAACACAGTTTATATGCACACTACTTTGTAAGCTACATCTTCATTTATTTAAGTCTTGTACCTTACTTTTAGTCATGATAAAAGTCTGCTTTCAGGCCCAAATTATGCCAAAAACACTAATATTAATCTGAAATAGAGTAACTCTCTAACCTACCATTGGAAGGTCTTTTCTCTTTGAAAAGCCGAGTTTTTAAATTTACAATTTTGCTACGATTTCATCAGCTGTAAGTAAAAGACTACATGAACCGGATTGCTTTGATAATCATCGATGCTTATGATCTCCACAAAAACTCAACAGAATACTTTGTGACAAAACACAAGCTGGTCAAAACATACAGAAGCATGGAGTTAATTAGGATCGAAACTAACCAATCATAAATTAAGAAAGTTTCCTGAGAGGTCCGAGGTTTATTTGTTCTCTCTGCAGTAGGCTTTGTGTTTTTACTTCATTGTCCTTGGTTTGACATCCTTTGCTGTCAATAAACATCTTCATTGGTTCATTTTTTTTCATTTCGATCCGCTTCAAACAATCTCGCTGCTATGAGCTCTTCACAGAGATAATTATTCTTTCATTCACGTGTTAAGTTGTTGGGTTTGCAATCCCACTGAGCTAGTTACCTCACATTTTTACATTGTAAGTTGTTAATATAATTTCATTTTAGTTTTATTAATCATTTGTGAAATTAGCGATGCTGTACATAAAGGATACAGTCAGACGGACTCTTGCGAAGTAAATTCTCTGCGTGTTGTTTACCCGCATCTGTGATGTTATTGCCCCAGAGGATTCATGTGAGTAGCTGACAGTATTCGTTGCTGATGGTTTCAGCCAAGTGCTGTGCTCCTCTGTCTGTGATGTTATTGTTTGCGAGGTTTAACCGGCGTTGCTGACAGTTGTCTCTGATGGCTTCGGCCAAGTGCTGTGCTCCTTCGTCTGTGATGTTATTGCCGTAGAGGTTTAACCTGCGAAGCCGACAGTTGTTGTCTCTGATGGCGTCAGCTAAATACTTTGCTGCTTCATCTGTCAATTGATTGTCTGTGAGGTCTAACCAGCTCAGTTGAGAATTCCTACATTTTAACAATTTACAAATCTCTAAACAGCCCAAAGGGCCAATGTTATTGCCACTCAATTGTAAATGTGAAATTTTTTTACCTTGATTCTCAATTACAGTAACTAATGAAGCACAATCAACAGCTGTGAGTTGACAATCAATAAAATTTACAAAATTAAAGCTAATTTCTTGAAGTTTTCTTTGAACTGTTTCCTTCATCCCACTATTTTCACTACAACATTTAAGTAATGTCACTGCTAAATGTTTTTTATCTTTAGTCGGCCACTTAATGACTTTCCTTGGCACTACTTTCTCTGTGAAGTCTTCGTTGTAGAGTTTTTCTTCTTTCTCTTCAGTTTCCACAGGAAGAAGGTCTGTGATAATTTCGCTCGGTAGTTTTTCTTTATCGCTCATTAGTCCTGCTAGAAACTGGAAAACCAGTTGCCATTTGCCGTCCTCGATGTTCTTAGAGACAAAGTTCCTCAATTCTGTTTCACTCATATTCGCCAGGTGCCTGGCAGCGAAAAACTCCTGCAGTGTTAAATGAATGAAACAGAATTGTCTTTCGCGGTTTAACTCGTCAGTTCGGCGGTCGGGTAGGCGGTGAAAGAGAGCGCTGTTTTCCATTCCTTCGTTCCCTCCAAAGATCAGCCTTCCTTTTTTAATTCCTTCAAATGCTATGTTTTCCAGTTTTTTAAATTTCATTTTAACTTTAAGAGGCAAATCGTCGGATTCTAAGTCTTCGCGAGTGATATTTTTTCCGCGATATTCTTCGTTGTAGGTAAAGTAAAAAATTTTTACCGCTTTCTTGTAAATATCTGTTAGTTTCCTTGGTAGGCGAAGAGTTGTAAAATCTTCAAAGCTCAGCATATGAAGTAGAGTCGAGCAAATGATGAAGCAACTCGCAGGAATGGAGCATAGAGAGAGGATGTCGATGTTGCCGCCGATGTGTCGCCATAGTGTTTCGCCCGCGTGCTCGTCTTCACTAAATTTGGTCACATAATGTTCGACTTGTAAGGATGAGAAGCCGAGGATCTCGTAGACTTTGTCGAAAGGAATCTTTTCGATGCATGGCATAGCCGTAGGTCTTGTGGTTGTCAAAACTGCAGCTCCATCGAGAAGTTTCCCAGTCGCAAGCTTCTCGTAGAGTGCGTGAACGGGCATGTTCTCGTCCACGCTATCTCTGAATTTAGGATCGTAGTTTTCATCACCGATCATTGAGTTATGTTTAAATTCATCGATTCCATCGAATATAAGGAGAACTCTTTCGGGGTTCTCAAGGATGTAATTCCAGACTTCTCCATCCATGTGATCTGATGGAGAATATTCTGACAAGGCGAGCAGTTCTCTGAGAGTAAGGTCGTTTGTCTTGTTTAGTGCTCTGAATTTAATGAAGAAACCAGCATCAAAATGGATTTTAGCATCAGGTGTCTTACTGAATACTTTCTCCAATGCCCAGTCTCTCAGAACTTTGGTACAGCAAAGTGTCTTTCCGATTCCGGGACGACCAACGATCAAAACTTTTTTGTTTTCGTGGTTAAGAATGTCTTCCGGCCCACTAGGTGCTGTGTTTTTCTCAGCTGATCTAGCGTAGACTTCCAATTTCTTCCGTCTGTCGGCTCCAGTGAAGTCATATCTAGCTCTGTCCGGAAGAACGACAAGGTTTGTGTAAATCTGATCTAAAGCTAAATGTTTAGCTGGCTGTCCTTCGCCGGGAGTACCTGAAAAAGGTGATCGGAGTTGTGGAGGTCGACATGTGTCTTTTTTAATTTTTTTCTTTGTATTTTCGATGAATTCCTGGAGCGGCGTTATTCGGAGTTGTTCAGGCTCCCCTGGAATGTGTGGGATGTTTGTTTCAGGGTCTGTAAGTTCCTCTACCACAAGTAGTTCTAGTGTGAGCTTGGTCGAAGCAGAGTTATTAACTATGGTCGAAGTGATAAAATTTTCCGAGGGATTCAGGTGAGTTTTTAGAAACTTGGAATTTTTCATGAAACCATTTCTTTTCCACGTTCGTATTGAAATGTACACGGCTTCCATTAGAACGAGAAAGACAAAAATTCCGTTCACCACAAGAATAGCCTTCATGCAGGAGTTTTTTTTAGTTGCTCGTTGATTATGACAATCGTGTAAAATTGGTGTGGAGTTTTGCATGACGCCAGTA